GAATAGATAATTGTCATTTCTCGGAAAAAAAAAAACTGGCTGGAACTTTTTGCTAAAAAACCAGTTGGATAATGATGGATGGTAAGCAAGGTTTCTATTTTATTTTTCATTTCTTAACAATTTATAGACTTGTGACTAAAAGTTGACAGTTTGCAAATTTTTTGTTTTGTAATTTGTCGCATATTCTAATGAAGAACGATAATGTAATATTGATTGTGTCAACAGTGATAATAGCAGGGCAGTATACGATTGGAATGACATTTGTATTTTTAAATTTTTAAATTAAGTATGCAAAACTTTTTCAACTTAACCTTCATCTTTCTCACATTCCATTGAGGGATGGAAAGAAAGGATGCATAAGATGTATAAATACCGGCGATCATATTTGATATTCCAGTTGTTCCGGTTGAATATTTCTTGATTGACATAGTTTTAATGCATAATACCGGAATCTTAGAAGGATTTTGATTTGGAACCGGGAAATTCAGAAGAAATTCTCGCAGGCATTTTTCCAGGAACAATATATCATCTCTCATCTACTCCCTACCCTCGCTTCTCTCTGTCTTTGTCTCTTCCCGCATTTGAAATCAATCGATAGGATGTCGCATATTCGAAACCAATTTCTATTTTTATAAAGATTTTTTATCAAATTACCAAAAATACCTAGGGATTCATTTGAATTTGCTGGCTGTCTTTCTCCTACCAGTAGCCAATGATCGATCGATCGATCGATCAATCAGTCAATCGATCAATTGATAATTTCTGTGATTCAACCAGAAATTACTACTGCTATTATACTACTACCAATTCCATCATTATTCATCAATGATATTTAAATAGAGATGCTTCTGGAATGAGTCATCCATGTTCTCACATTGCTTCGAGCTGATTTTTAGCCTTCTTAAATGACGATAACCGTGACAAGCAGCTAGCAGCCATTGCCGCCGCCATCACCGCCACGCTACGACCACACGTCATCAGTGCCACAATTAGTTACTGCTATTCGTCCTCTTTCATTCCTCTTTCTTTTCTAATAAGTTGCAATTTTTCAAATCAAATTCCAAATTTTCGTAAAGTTCTAATTTCAATTTTGATTTTTCTTTCTTTTTTAATAAAAAAGAATTGAATGTGTCATGGTTTATTCAGTAATTAATTCCAAATCTTTAGTTTAATCACAATACAATTCTCTTAATATTTGAAGCTATGAATCACCAACTGGTATATAATTTGACATTCTAATTGGTAAGATTTGAAATGGAACTAACCATTAATATAGCATAAATTAGTTAATGGATAGAGATTAAAGAAATAATTTTGATAGACAGCAGCATTGCGACAATATATTATCTCGTATCGAACGTGTTCAACGTGTAGTTACGTGAAGCACGTTTTTGTTTTCAACGTGAAACTGCGTCAAGCGTAAAACGTAGCAAGTATTCAATTACAATAAATACGCAATTGTAGTAACCATGCCAAATACTAATTGATTAATTATAACAAAGTTGATATAATTCAAATTAATAAATGTGATAATAATATATCAGTATACATATTTTTATTTCGATTATCAGTAAAAGGTACTCATTGCTATTATTAATTAGTTTTAATTACCATGATATAATATCCATTTGAATCATCCATTTGCTTTCATTTCCCTCGTTCCTCTCTTTCTTTTCCCTTTCCATCTAATCGTTTGGAAATTTTCAATTTCAATTTGAATGAAAGTTGTCATTGTTGTTTTTCTTTTCCCCCCCAATTTGTTTCATTTATCGTTAAAACTTGTTTAATTCAGTGTATCATCTCCTCTTTCATATTTCTCTTTTCCTCATTCTTCCTTTCATATAACATGTTTTATTTTGTCTGGAAACACTCTATCCGACAGGTGAATTGATTGGTAAATCTCGGGGGAATAATACAATATTTCAAGGAATATCGGGATAATGATGCAACATTTTATTATTGGTTGACTTATTTAGGATATAATTTCACCTGAAATATTTTCTGCAATGCCGAAAACTTAGTTGAATTTCAAAGTGTGATTTTGAAATTCTAAGAATTCTGACTGAAAATGTGCATCAAAAAGTTTCTTTTTTTTTTTTTTACTTTAATGAATCATCATGTATTCTACATCTTGCATCCAATTTGTTACCTCTTGTCAATTAGGCATCTAGCATAGTAGCCTTAAAATAAATCATTCAAATAACCTTTAACCTTAACTTACCAGACTGTGTGTACTATCACAAAAAATGCTTAATCATTCCGTTACACTCATTTACAACTAACCGTCCCGCACAGTAATCCTCATTGTATCATTGCCATATGACCTTTGTCGTTGACTGGAAAGTAATCATTCATTCTACATATCATTTCTACAAATTACAATTATTGGAAAATATTTGTCTGTGTTGAAGTAAATCTTTGAAAAATTCGGAGCAAATTAAATTTCATTAAAATCGATCGAAAATATTGCAAAATCACATACTGTAAATAGGTTCAATTAACTTTGCTGGCACAGTGTCATTAAGAAATTTCATATGTCATTGTCATTATCATCGATTGAGGTCATCGTTGGCCTTCTTCGTCTTCCTCTTTCTCTCAAACTGTTTACATCGAAGTATAAAAGAGGCTGGTGACAATGGAAGGACTTGGCTGGAAAGCATAAATGTAGGTATTGATTATTTCTTAACCATACAGGATCAAAAGATCATTCTTTTTATGATGGATTAATTATGCACCATTTGTTTATCTCCAGTGTCCTTGGCGGTATGCAAATTATTTAATAACTTAGACAAGCTTTATAACACATCCCATTATACTCAATTATCTAAAGCCATATAGCTAGGAATCATCCGGAATTTGAAAAAATGAAATACTTAACGATAGTGGTTTCATACGTTTTTATAAACTCGTTATATTCATATCACTATATATGAAGGAGAAATAATCGGAAGAAACAATACGCTAAATAACAGGATAACCATCATTTCTGTTATTCTTGTTTTCCGGATTTCGAGTATAACATTAGTTTCTATACTTTCGCCATAAGATTTTTTCTAAAGATTTTTTCTCCTTACACTTTCTTTCTTCATTTCAGTAACTTTATGTCAAAGTTAATGTTTTTCCGATGGAATAAACTTTAATCGACAGATAATACAGTAATGGTAAGTTTAAACTTTCACAATTTTTAAATATTTTCCAATTTTTTTGAAAACTTCTCATTCTATTTGGTTGTTTTTTCTTCAGTGAAGAAAATTTAATTGTAATTTTGGTGCCAATTTGAAAATTTGTAAGTGAAATCAATTTTAATTATTTATTTTAAGAACCAAAATTACAAATGGTTATTTAGTTATAACTTTTTTTGTGATTGTTGTTTGAATGTTTATTTACAATAATTTGTAATTAAAAGAAAACCTGATCTCAGTCTAAGTACAAGCGCGTTTATTTACATAAATTAAATTCTAAACAAATGTACGGTAATATATGTGTTTTTTAAAATTATTTTATATATTTTATGACTGATATATTAAACATCGATAAGTTCCCATTTTATTAATTAACAATAAAAGCTCAAATATCATTGATGCATAAGGAAATGAAATAATAGTAATTTATCTGATCTCTTTTTCCATTTCAGTATAAATCGTTTTACTGTTGCAATAAATTTTTCTAACGAATTATAATTAGCTTATTGATAATTAGCTACAGTATCATTTATTGTTGTTAGAAAAGAATGAGGGATTTTATCATCCATAATTGATAATATGTTATTATTTATAAAATGAGATGTTTCATTATAATTAGAATGATGATTGAAATATGAATTTTTATTAAATTTCAGCAATAAATAATTTAGTGAATTTTTTTCATCTGTTGAATTTAAATCTGAACAAAATATAAATTATAAATATTTTTGGCGGATATAATGTATCTATTGGTAATTAAGTGATGCATATTGCATTGCTCATATGTTTTAATTAGTTAATTTAAATTGAGAAATAATAGTAGATGACAGTTGTGATGATTTTCCATATGTGAATTCTGTTTCCTCACAGTTTGAAAATAATTGAAAATAATTCATGAAAAAAATTGAAAAAAAAACATGAAATTTGAAAAAATTTTCACTCCACTCTTACTACTATCACTGTTTGATGATAAGCTAGAAAATCGTTGAGGTAGTTGTTGTTATTTACTGATAAATGATTTATCATTTTATTTACTAATAAATGGTTTATCATTTTTTTTAACTTCATGTTTGGCTAACCAACTCAAATTTGCATACTTATCAGTAAGTATAAACCAACTCAAATTTGCATACTTATCAATAAGTATAACACGTAATTAAAGGAAAACATTATTAGCTTTACAAATGTGGAACGGGAAAACTTTGTTCATTGAATGAGATATTATATATTACAATATTCATTACGCTATATTCTAAATTTCAATAATTATTAAACTTTTTTCTTCCTACTTTTAGGCATTTCATTGGCAATCAAAAGTGAACATTCAACATATTGGTGTGGATGATATGGTATTACTTGGTAAACTCAATGAACAAGCAATCGTTGATAATCTACGAAAACGTTTCATGGCAAATTCTATTTTTGTAAGTGATACAATACACTAATAGCAATAGTTACGTCAATCTACTTGTTCTATTTTTTTCGTAGCATACGCTTACTATGTTGTAGCTAGAGTAAAGCAATGCTCTGTTAATTTATGCATAAGTTCATTTTCTAAGATGATATTGTTTCATCCTTTTAAAACTTCATTTAATTTTCCAGTTTTTGAAATTTATGACAACTTTTTTTTCCCTCACATATCATGCCATTTGAGAATATTTCATGGAGTTGATAACAAATTGTTCTAAAGTTTCAGATGTAAATTATTGCATATGGTAGTATTAGTAGTAGTAGTAATAGTAGTGGACTTAATTTTTGCAATTTTTTTTTTTGATTTTTTAATTTTAGACATACATTGGACCGGTACTTATATCAGTTAATCCATTCAAAGATATGCCATACTTCACGGATAAAGAAATGGAATTGTATCAGGGAGCAGCGCAATACGAAAATCCACCACATATTTATGCTCTTGCTGATAACATGTTTAGGTAAAAATTTCAGTTTTCGATTTAAATTGGTGGAATTTTAAATATTTAACTTATAAATTTCAAATTGCTTCCAGTGCCATACATTTATAATATTATGTGTTTGCCATCCATTTATAATATTATTTCTTTGCTTTTAAATCAGATTTTACTTTACTTAATTTTGGTTCATTTGTTCAACATTCCCTATACTGTTGTAAAGTAAAGAAGTCTGTTATAAAATTGGAACTCAGTAGAATAAATTTCTAGATGTTTTTTTCATCAAGTAATTGTAGTTACCACGTATACTAGGCAGTATCACGTACGAATAATGGTTAGTATTACGTACGATCACATACGATCAATGAATATGTTACAATCTTCACTTTTCTTTACTTTTTTATTATCAGGTTTGAAAGATCACCAAAATTTCCTGCGATTACTCGGATTATTGTTTGAATTGATATTCAGAGACGAAGTGTTTTATAATACTTAACGATTACTGACAATTTTGATATTTTAATACCATATTTCAGAAATATGATAATAGATAACGAAAGTCAATGTGTTATAATAAGCGGTGAAAGTGGTGCTGGAAAAACGGTTGAAGCCAAATATATCATGAGTTATATTGCCCGAATATCCGGTGGTGGACAAAGGCTTCAGGTTTTAAAATTTCAGCGTTTTGGAAATTTTCTTTTTAGCTTCAATGTTTTGGAAAATTTCTAAACATCAAATTTTAATCTTATAAAATTTTCTTTTTAGCTTCAATGTTTTGGAAAATTTCTAAACATCAAATTTTAATCTTATACCAGATTTTTCTTTTTTAATTTGATTCTTTTTTCTATTAAATCGTACTTTTTTCGTTAATGAGTGAACTGTTTCCTATTCGGTCGGTGATTTGTGGATACGGTCGCAGAAAACTAAAAAGTGTTTACCGGATTTATCGATTAAAAATAAATTGATTAATATTTTCGAATCAGGAAATCACGGAAACAAAGCTTTTTAAGATGTCATAAAAAGTGCTCCCTAAACTTCTGACTTTAAGGAAAAGAATAAAAAGAAATCAAATTTAAAAAAAAAGTAAGAGAAAGTAATGGGACAGTTAGTAAAATAAAGCAATGTAATAAAACGGTAAATTTCATTTCCTGATTTATGAATAAATAAGAATCGATTGTTTTACATTTCTAAACTTTACATTTAATAAAATTTCCTTTCAAATTTTAGCATGTGAAAGATGTAATTTTGCAATCAAATCCATTGCTGGAATCGTTTGGTAATAGTGCCACTGTTAGAAATTGGAATTCTAGTCGTTTTGGTAAATACGTTGAAATTATATTCAGCCGAGGAGGTGAACCAATTGGCGGAAAAGTCAGTCCCTCTTACTTTTCCATTTTCTCATTTGCTTCATTTGTGAAATATGAAATATATAGTTAGTTAGAACTACCGGGTTTTCATTTGTTGCCATTACTTGAATATTCATGATAATTCTCTTAGTGTTACTGAAGCTATATGCTTCCTACAAGTTTAACGTACTTATCGCGTCTTAAGTTCCATCCCATGCTATACACTTTAACTCTGATAAAATAACTTTTAGGTGTCCAATTTTTTACTTGAGAAATCTCGAGTAGTGCATCAGAATCGGGGAGAGCGTAATTTTCATATATTTTATCAACTATATGCTGGAGCAGACGAAAATTTGAAAAGTAATTTTTTTTTCCAATTTACTTTTAGAAATAATAGTTAAAATAATGCCATTTTTTGTCGTTCAGCAAGAAATATTATAAGATGAAATACAAAGTCTTATTTGTAAAAATGAACAGGATATTGATTTTACTAATTTACTGTCACTTAATGAGTAGAAGCGCATAGGACGTGTATCCTTATCGATTTTGAGAATTTTTTTTCTTCAGCTAATCTTGGTATCACAACATTGGATTATTACAATTATCTCAATCATAGTGGTTGTTATACAGTTGACGGAATCGATGATGTTAAAGAATTTAAACAAATACTTGTAAGTATATTTGATAAAAATAAAACTTCAGGAATACTGATTGTGAGAGCAATTCTTTTCAAAAATAAATTAAAAAACAAAACGAATAAGCAACCAAATAAATAAGCCAGCAATTAAATATAAATTTCATTCATATATTTCCTCCTCACAACACATATTACTTAATGATTTAATATTATTTAATGTTTTACTTCTTTGCTTAAAACGAGTAAACATTTCACATTCAAGCAGTCTTTCCTCGAAAAATCATTCGAGTATCACTCAATTATTAAATAGGTATTTTTATTTCAAAATATCGAAGTATTACTTGTTTATATGTTAAAATTTCATTTATTAGTGGAAAACTATACCTTTGAATGATGTTCCTATTTTTAAATATAATTATATCTGTATTTGCTAATTGTTATAGTTATTATTAATCTATTTCAACTTTTCTGCTTTATTTACCTAGCATGCAATGAATGTTATTGGTATTGATACAACAAAACAAATGGAAATTTTACAACTTGTTGCTGCTATTATGCATATTGGTAATATCACATTTGTTGAAAGTAATAATTTTGCAGCAATCACCGATGAACGTTGTAAGTGTTGTTCTACAAAAATTTTGCAAAAAATATAAATGAAAATTTTCAATAATCCATCCAGTTATTCTTCTTTTTTTCTTCTATGAAATTTAATTCAAAGATGTTTTTAACATTCAAGTTATGACCGTATATTAACTTTAGACCTTTTTTTTCTTTGTTTTGTTTGTTTGTTTGAATGATACATAACTAGATGATATTATCATTAACTATCATTTTAACTGCTGATTGATATTTCGATAGATCTCAGATAAGTAATAAATTAATGTCAATAATAAATAGGTAAAATAAACAAATCGATTATTGGAATCATTTTCGGTTTTCAGTGTTCCGAAGTTTCCTTCATCACATCTTGTAATTAATAGTCGTATTTCAGTTCTTGAATTCCCAGCATATTTACTTGGCTTGAAATCATCAGCAATACGCGAAAAATTGACAACTCGACAAATGGAAAGTAAATGGGGTAAACAAACGGAGCAAATTAATGTAACATTAAATGTTGAACAAGCGGAATTTACACGTGATGCATGGTGCAAAGATCTTTACACCCGTTTATTTGAATTTTTAAGTAAGTAATTTTTGTCAGCTAGATTTTTATGAAAACGATAACAAAAGATATGCTAAAAGCAAGTTTAAATATTTTGCAAAATTTAAAAAAAAGTGAAATTTTTTCTGTTGTATTTTTTTTTTATCATTCCGTATTTGCAGTTGCATGTGTTAATCAAGGAATGAAGATCACTTCACGATCATCTGGAACACCATTATCCATTGGTATTCTTGACATTTACGGATTCGAAATATTCGATAATAATGGTTTTGAACAATTTTGGTAAATCAATTTTATAGTATGACATAAACAGATTAGGAGGAAAGCAATGTTCGACTATCACCAAATGCGACAAATGATGCGCTGCATTCTCGGACAAATTCTGATCCACTGATTTTCAATTATTAACTTCTGAAGCCTTTTTAATTTAAAAAATGGAAATTTGTAAACTTTGCTATTTGATCTCATCGTTCCTTTACTTACTGTTACTATTTGTACAATAGTTTCTCCATTCATCATTTATTTATGCTTAGACAAACAGAAGTATTACTGGCAATATAATCAAGTGATAAACAAATGGTAGCTTAACATTCATTTTCATTAGTCATTTCCATTCCTTAAATGTGTTCCAAGCATTTGAGATGTTGCAAAACCGAAGTTACATAAAATACTTCACATTTATCACATATCAATATATATTTATCGAGATTTAATAACTTAGACCGATTAAATTAGTTGATATAATAGTGAATATTAATAGAATTAAAAAAAATTTTGCCTCCTGCCAAATCCATTCATTTCAAATTTAACTCATCTTTTAAAAAAAAAAACCTTTTTTCCAATTAATTTCCTTTATTTTGTCACAAAAAAGGTGAGTTTTTTAGCATAAATTTTGTAAACGAAAAATTGCAACAAATATTTATTGAATTAACAATGAAGGCGGAACAAGAAGAATATATTAGCGAAGGTATTAAATGGACACCAATTGAATATTTCAATAATAAAATTGTTTGTGATTTATTCGAATCTCGAAAACCACCAGGTATTCTAATTCTATTTTCTCTTTGTTACTGAAATATCTAATATATAAACATATAAAATTCAACTACATTTTGCACTCCGCATTCTTCGAGAGAAATATTAAATGAAGTTTGAATTAAAAAAATTGGAAATTCATTTTGCTGGAAATACTTTTCAAATAAGACAACAAAAATAACTTCATTACTAAAGAAATGTTCATTACTGAAATAATAATGGTATCATTAATCTGATCATGTTGTCTTGGGTATTTCAGTAATAAAGTTTGATATCTTAAATCGTTATATCATAAAAGCGTAAATCATCGTTGTTTAACCTTTTCCCAGTAAATTTCTAATATCTTCTCCTTCTCTTTTTTTTAATATATGGTCAGTTATATACTGCTGTCGTAGTATTCATGCATCATTACATGAATTTTACATTCATAACTCTTTTCCAGCAAATTTCCAATGCCACCTTCCTTCCCTTTTTTTTTCAATTCGATACATGAATACTTATTTACTGCTATCGTAGTATTCATATATTTTTTTTATATACCTATATCCTATCGTATTGCTATCTTTTAGGAATAATGTGTATTTTGGATGATGTATGCTCACAAATTCATGCACAAAATGAAGGTGCAGATGATCAATTTTTGGTTGAATTAAACAAATATATGTCACAAAATGAGCATTATCAAAGTGGCACACAATGTTTCATTATCAAACATTATGCTGGAGCTGTTTGTTTTTTATGATTTATTTAATTACAATATAGTATTCTTTGGTATTCTTTTGATTTTTGAATTTTTGAGCTTCAATTGAGATAGACTTTAATGAAATAGTTTCCACTTACACTAAGTATCTTATCGTTTCAATTTAATGCGGTATAACCGATTTAATTGGATAGCAAATAATAATTTCATTTTAAGCCTGTTTTAATACTTTAAATGAATATTTACGTACGTATTCTATCACTGTTTTTTCTAAGTTTACAAATGATTTCAAAAAATGGTAATTTTTTTGGTGTAATTTTATAATCTGAAAAATTTGAAAAAATATAATTTGAATTGTGGTGGAAATTTTTAAGTTTAATCGGCACTCCTTTTATTATATCTCAAATAAGTAATGAGTTAACGTCAATGAATTATTGCCACTACAATTATTATAATAAGCTAATAAGTAGATAAATAAAATTTTAGATCTTTTTAAAATTTAGGTTTTATACAATGTTGACGGATTTTGTGAGAAAAATCGTGATACACTTTACAAAGATTTTATTGCATTGATGCAACAAAGTAATCGGTTAGATCTTTTTCCATTTCGAAATTTAATTTAAATATCATTGGTAACATTTGAAATGTTTACTAGATAAAGAGGATGAGCATATCTCCATACAAATAAACCTGATAAAAAGATTTTGAATGGTAAAATCTTTATTTAATGATGAAATGATGAGTGATCAAATTTTTAAAAAGAATGATAAAATTTTTATTTACGATGAAAAAAAAGTTGGTGAATGAGCTGTGATAATTTATTTTATTCCAAAATTAATAGAAAAAATAAAAAATGACAAATGACTATTTAATTATTGTTAATTGGAAAAATAAGTGAAGGAAATTTTATTATTCTTACAGGCAATTTTTCAAGCAACTTTTCCCGGAAGTAGTATCTTTTAATGGTAAGAAGCCAACAAGTTTTTCATCTAAAATTAGAGTTGGTTTTATCATTTACCTTTATTTTCACCATCCTGCTTGTTTTATATTTTTAATTTCAAATTTAGTTAATAGCGTGAAAAACTGGAAAGGAAAAATGAGAATGGAAGAAAACAGAAAAGCAATAGCTTATATGAAATTGGTATAATATGCAAAAGTCACAGAAATTTAGAATAGGTTAAATTGAATAAAAATGAAATTGGTAGAAAATAAATCAATTTCAAATTAAATAAAAACACAATTCTGTTTCCAGGCACAATTTTTCCCTTTTTTCTTTTTGCTCCAACAAACTTTATCAAAAAAAAATATTATAGAATCAGGCAAATGATCTTGTTTGTTCACTTAGCAAATGTGCTCCTCATTATGTACGTTGCATTAAGCCAAATGATACTAAGCGGTCATCAGAATGGGATGAGAAACGGTCAGTGATACTAATTTATATCATTAATATAGTGGCCATAATTTACATTATTTTTGGGACATTTGAACTTAGTGATAGATATGATTTGACTTAGTGAAAAACTTAGTGATAGATATAGATATGATATCAGCTGATGCAATGATCGACTCCATACAAATCCTTTCCTCAAAACTAAGGATAAAGTTTGTGAAACTTTAACCACACCATTACTTTCCCAGTGAAATCAACTGTAGGGCTAGAATGATTTAATGGTTAAAATTAAAGGTTAAGGTTAAGTTTCAATTCTTTTTCTAGCGTACTACATCAAGTGGAATATTTGGGCTTGAAGGAAAATATTCGAGTTCGACGTGCGGGTTTTGCCTATCGTCGCATTTTCGATAAATTCCTTTATCGTTATGCTATTCTTAGTCCAAAAACATGGCCCAAGTATCATGGTAATGCTCGAGAAGGAGTTGAGGTTTGATTTATATTTGTTATATTACTTAATGATAAGTGTAGATCAGGAAATAAGTCTGAATATCATTATTATTATTTACTTTCTTAATTCTTATTCATGAATGTTTACCTTCATCTTCCCATTTCAATGAAAGTCCAGAAAACTTTCAATCAATTTCGAAACAACGATTATGGATTGCCATATATGGAAAGATTCAGTTACTTTACTTGAGTTTTTAACTTTATTTGATTTAATTTAAAATCATTAAAATTTTTTAAATCAATTGTCAATGACATGAGCTCATTTTAACGAAGGAAAATGTAATTTGTTGTAGCTCTTCCTCTTATTATCATGATAGATTGGAAAATTCTTGTATGTTCTTGGAAGTAAGTTGCACAACATGACACAGAGTTGCATGACTCTGTTGATTTTCACCTTAGACCTGGGTAATTGATTCATTACCTGAATGAACCTATGCCAGCGTAACATGATTATAAAGAATTACGAAACACAGATGAAAGCGTAAAGGTGTTTCCACGAAAGCCGTCATAAGTTGAGTTTCTAAGACCAATCAATCTGAAACGGAAACGGAAGAAGAATATCTTTATGCTATCTGCAGGGTTTCTATGTACATCCTTCAAGATTTACGATTGGTTACAAGGATTAGCGCCTTTGTTAGCTCGTGTCGATAAACCACTCTTTGTTAGCGCACATTGGTAAATGACTCTTATGTTAGTGTCATATATTAGTGTAAATGGCTCTTATGGTAAGCATTCTATGTGGTGATAGTACCCCTACTTATCCATACAGAAAAGAATTTAAATGATTTTCAAATCTTAATCACCATCAAACATGCTATATGCAAATTACTGTATCACTTATGATACCCTATATTTTCTCTAATCACGGAGCTTCACGTTTATTCACAACATGTCAAGTACATCTATTTTCTGATACAAAGAAAATTCCCAATGCATTAATAAGAGATTATTGAATTATCCTATCATTTATTCCCTTCCTCAGTGATAGTTCTTTTCTATAGTGTTAATAAATATAGCAATGATTAATTAACATTTTAACAATTCATTTTAGATCATTTGTCAAATGGTCAATATGGATCGAGATCAGTATCAAATGGGTAGGACAAAAATTTTCATCAAAAATCCGGAATCGGTTTGTTGTTGCTGCTGTTGTTATTCCCAGGATATGTTTATTTATTTATCTTATTTATTTTACCTATTCTTCATTACAGCTTTTTCTTTTGGAAGAAATGCGTGAGAGGAAATATGATAGTTACGCACGTGTAATTCAAAAAGCGTTTAAGAAATTTACTGCTCGAAAACGACATGCCAAATTAAAGGTCAGCTTTTCGTGTAATATTTCTTCTAGTGATTTATTTGATGATCTAATTTGGGAAATATTTCTGATGGAAGTATTATTTGTGGTATGTCGTGTTGACACCTTGTAAACAGGCTAAATGTTCTGGGCCAAAACTTGGAAGAAAAAAAAACATTTCCTTATCATTTTCACTAACCATATTAACAGGAAATATTAGCAAATACAGGAAGTAATTTAGCTGCAGAAGTATCAGTTAAGTAAGGAAGGAAAATGGATCATCTTTACCAGTTTTCTTAAGTTTTTGGTCTAATGCAACACGATCCTGTTTTACTGATTCATTAAATGATTAGAATTGAAGTTTGGAACATTATGCTTAAGATATTCAAAATTTCGGTCAAAGTCATAGCAATACAATTTTGGTATGCCATTTTCATTAATTGTATTGATAAATGGAAATTTCCCTGTCAGTATGACTGATGGAATTGATATAGAATAAATGTATCTTTTTTTTCTGAATTAAAAATTCTGTTTAAGATATTTTACCGTTCACATGGTGTATGTGATATGGTAAAATGATACACCGGGAATGTTTAGTTGAAATTCTGAAATGATGCAGTTTTAAATTTCAACAAGCATTGGGTGTTTTGTTAAAACCGGGTCCGGTGTTTGACAATGATAGCATGATTGCTTCTGTTCGATATTGATAACATGTTTGCTTCCGTTATCATCAGTGAGGGAAAGATGAATTTATTGCAGGAAGATGCATGTAATTTATTCTTCAATAGAAAAGAAAGGCGACGATATTCTATAAATCGTAATTTTGTTGGTGATTACATTGGTCTCGAATATCATCCAGCATTGCAAGCATTAGCTGGTCGGAAGGAACGTATTGTTTTTGCTGCTACAGTTAATAAATATGATCGAAGATTTAAAGTTAGTCCAAGTTTTACCCTATTTCCATGTTACATTTCGAATTTAATTTATTGCGCTTTCTTTTCACTGAATGATGGAAGAAAATTGACTTCCTGTTGCCATAATTTTATCAAAAATACTCTAAGTTTGCGTAATCAGGATTTCTTTCTTAATAGTAATTGGGAGATAGACTAGTTGCTGTGATAATGTGGTCTGAATTATCACCTACCAGAGGTTCACCTATCAACTATTATCTATCAGAACATTTTTAAAACTACTGTGAGAAACTGGTCGTTGTACGAAATGATTTTTAATGGAACTTATCTTTAATTGATTTTTTTTTTTCAATATTGCTCTTATGGACTTCTTTTCTTTTCGATCTCAAAAGTTGATTTTCTGATAACAACGAACAAGATCGTTCTTATTGGAAGAGAAGTTGAAAAGAAAGGATTAAATAAAGGGAAGATTATTGAGGTAAAGTTTTATTCTCGCTTTTCGGATGGATTTCATTTTCATTAATCCGATGAATGCTTAATTATCACCTTTGTTGCTGTTCTTTCCAGGTTTTGAAACGACAAATTGATTACAATGATATAGCTAATATTGGACTGAGTCCGTATCAGGATAATTTTATCATTCTTAATGTCCGTGATTCTTATACTTCGCTTCTGGAGACACCATTAAAAACGGAACTTGTAAATGCTATCAAGTAAATTTTATGAATTTAATCAGTTGTTGAAGGAATTATTAGTTCGTCACTTATAAGTAATAAATTTTCAAACGGATTTAATCATTCTTGTCAAACAGACATAATCATTATCTACTAGATGTGATCGTTCTTGTAGCAAACGATATCGTGATATGGCAGATGGACGAATTTTATCTTTGGATTTCAATACGTCTCATCAGATTATCTTAAAGAAAACTCGATTTGGTGGTGGTTCTCGAACTGTTAAATTTTCGAGAAACGATAATGGATCGGATATAACTCAATTGTTTCCAAAAGGAAAAATTTTATTTGTATATATTGGACGTGGGTTATCCAATAGTGCAAGTATGCATTACTATTGTTTGGTGATATCGGGATAACCTGAAATTCACCTTATAATTTGAAATCTTTTGAAATTCACTGAAACTACTAGGTCATTCACTTTTCTTATAAATCTCTCTAAAATATGGTAGAATATGTGTGATATGTTAATACAAGTTGGTAATTTGAATTGGAAAAATTCTCTCTGTATTACCATCAATTAAGCTGCAAATTTTTGTCTTATCTGATATTGAAAGCTATCTCTATTACCATCTATTTTCTCGTCTATTTCCACATAGCTAGTTTATTAAATACTCACTGAACTTGTTAAATTTGATAAGTTGCTATGAAGTAGAACGAATGATTTTCATAAAATGAACTTCATTTTCAGGACCAAGTGATGAAGGGATAATGATGAAGAAACATTATGAAAGGCGAAAAATGCCTTTCCCAATGTATCAAACACCTTTGTCACTACAGCACATGACTACGTCAAATCGTGTCTATCCAATGATAAACAATAATATGGATATTAACAGAAATAGTGGAATTACTCATGTACACAAAAACTTTTTGCAGCATAGAAATAACTGGGTATTACAATTACTGGTATATATTGCGATCATTTGCAGAATGCTATACGACATTCCGAAAAACCGAAGCCACCACTGAAACCGAAACCACTTCCTCTTGTTGAAGCGCTGTATCCGTACGAAGCTCAGGATACAGACGAATTGTCGTTTTTTGCTGGTGATAAATTTGAGCTTATAAATAAAGGTTAGTTTTACTTTAGAATGAACTGATTTGAATTGGGTGATCGGTTGATGTGGAACGGATTAGTTGCTTGTAACATTGTAATGAGTACATTTATGTGTTGGTTTGGGTATAACAATGAAATTTCAATTGTTGGACTTGTCGAATTAGTCAAACAAAGTTGTTCTGGTGATTTTTGTTGAATTCCTTCTAGTTTGCTCAGTGTACCACTGCCGCTGCAATTATTTTCATCCTGTTGCTTACTTGGTTATGATTGAATTTTCAGATTCTTCCGGTTGGTGGCAGGGCAGAATGCAGAATCGAACGGGTCTCTTTCCAGGAAATTATGTTAGAGAATTATAAGGTTCTTAGATGTTTACATTTATTTTAGTCCAATTTCTTTCACTTCTCGATTACTTCTATTTGTTTTATTATTGTAAAGATTCATTTCCTATGCAATCCAAGTTGTCACTGCTGTGGTAAAAATTCTCAATTGCTTTACTCCTGGAAGTTCCTTTTTCTCCTTCTTTTGTATGATCGAATTACGGACAGATGTTGGTATTTCTTGAAAGAAATCTGAGTTGTATTTTTGAAAGCGAAAATTGAAAAATCAGATGGCAGAATTAGGGTAATAATGATAATGATAATGGTGACAATAATAGTGATAACTAATAATAATAATTAATGGTAATAATAAAATAGTAATAATAATAATAATAATAATAATAATAATAATAATAATAATAATAATAATAATAATAATAATAATAATAATAATAATAATAATAA